CTCTTCCTATACTCCAAATTCAGTGTAACCATGGCCGATGTTTCTCCCAGCAGAGACACTGCAGTCTCTGCACCTGATCTTTCTATTCAAACTTCTTTTAAATGTTACTACATTGTAATATGGTTACAGCTAATCTGAAGCCCGTAGCGTTTGTTTTCTGCCTTTAAAATGTTGTGTTTGATGGGTGGATCCGTCTAAGACAACACAAAGACACTCTGTAGGCACACAGGGTGGGGTCTTAGTAATCAGAAGGTGCCTTGCCTTAAAGTAAAGTTGCATTGCTTTTAAAGTATTCTCCAAACAGTAAACTTTAGGTGCTGAATGTTGCTTAAATGTCATTCTTTCCTATTTTGCAAAAATATTTTACTTTTGCAAAGGTTTATTTTTTGCAATTTCCCTTTGTTTTTGTCCTGTTTTAATGCAGAGTTTACACTGTTGCTGATGCCACCATACATCCACACTGCAGGACATTGTTTAAATACACACTCAGCGTCACTTGCAGAACTGATAGGGTGATTTTTTTTTTTGCTGGGTTTTATCTGAACAAAAGGGAAGAGGTAATAATCCTAACTGCCAACAGCAGCCTGCAGGTGACACAGATAATGCTGGATTGACTCAGAAAACACATCTCTGAGTGGAAGGGAGTCAGATTAGGGATTACTTAAAATAGGTAATTACCACATGATGCAGTTTGTTTGCTAAGACCTCTGGTAGTATTATGAATATACATCAGTTAACATTACAGCAAAATCTTTGGGAAGGCAGCAGTAGTTTAAATAAGACCTTCCTTAGGGCTGGCAGGTGTAGCCTAGAAGACTGTATTCAAATGAGACCGCGGTGAAGAGGTTAACCACAATGGAAATTATGTTAACTGCTGGGCCCAACTAGCCTCTCTGCTGCTGAAAAGCTGAGCTGAGCTCTGCTCCAGGAGGATCTCCTCTACAGCTGCATGTTTTAAAGCAAAGTAGGTTGATTTCTGAAGTAATCGGGGTCATAGTCACACTGATATTCAAAACTATGGTTTACAGTTATACATTTTCTATTAAAAGTTCAATGGGAGGTAAAAATCTTCTTACAGCATTTAAGATTTGGCTCCATTGACAACATAAAAGGGTAATCAGTGTGGTGGTGAATACTGAAATCTACTCCCTTTTCACAGAAATCGCTGTAATACTAGGCTATTAAAATGTGGTTAATTACTTTATTTAGTTTTCATATTTTTATCTTTTGTTTTGCCCTTTTATTATAGAACTTTATTTAATATAGATAAAATCAACCCTCTTGATTACAATAATGTACATGTTCATGCCTCTAAGCCTCGACAGACAATATAATGTTTTCTCTTTTGAGTATTTCTCTTTGTATTTCTTTTTGTCTTTTTCTGCTCTTTATGCTCATTTTTTAATCAACTTTCTCCTTCATGTGTGTTTAATTCTATTCAATTCAGTTTATTTCTATAGCTCCAATTCACATCACATGTCATCTCAAGGCACTTTACAGTTCAACCAGATCATACAGTCAAAATGATTCAAAGTTTTCTATCTAAGGAAAACCAGTTGATTGCATCGACTCATTGGCTCTTCTGCAATCCCTCACACTAAGCATGCTTGTAGCGACAGTGGAGAGGAAAAACTCCCTTTGAACAGGAAGAAACCTCCAGCAGAACCAGGCTCAGTGTGAGCGGCCATCTGCTGAGGCCGACTGCGGTGCTACAGCAGAACAGTAGATCTGATCACAATCATTGCGTTTGCCTTTATTGGTTTCACTTTCATCATCCACCACAGTATCCACCATGGCTTGGTGTCTAAACCGATTATAAATCAATGATATATAAATCAATTTAACTGTGTCAACGGTCGCCCTTACATTGAAGTATGAACTCCTGCATTGCAAGGTCTCTGTTCCTGCACCTCCTGGGATGTCGGATGTTAAAATACAGAAAATTGAATTTTTCTGAGGTTCTGAAGAGGAAATGAATGAGCTCCTTTTTTCATCCAGCTGTGCTTTCATAGGCAGCGGGTTACACATGCTATTGGAGTGAATATAAATACAGTGAGCAGCAGTTTTACAGGCGTGTAATAATGTAAGTGATGCTGTGTCATCGCTGTGCAGCAGCAGCAGCAGCAGGCTGTCTGGTTTTAGCAGCCTGGAGTCGCTCTCTGATTGGCTGAGCAGAGCAACGTGTACCTCAGTCACTAACAGGTAGCAGCGCACATGTGGCAGTTTATCTCCGCGCGCGGTGACGCTCCGCGGCTCCTTCACTGACTTTCTGCTGCTGGTTTTTATGCCAGGACTCCTTCTCCAAAGACGCAGAGCGGTAAGACCCTCAGTCCCTCCGCTTTTCTGGCTTTCTGGTTTCCTGCTGGCAGTAGGAGCCTTTCTGAGCTGCAGCTCCGCTCTACCGTTAGATGTTCCAACTGTCTGAGGTTAGGCAAATAAGGAGCTGCACAGTGCTGGAACATAGCTGGGCTAACTTTTTTATTATTATTGTGCGCTTTTTTCCTCCTAAAACGCCGCTTCTGCTCCAATATTCTTTTTCTTTCTGGACATTTTCCACTGTTTGTTTTAACATTTACTAAAACTTTTAGGGGTTCAGGATAAAAACAGACTGCTTAAAGTTTCAAATAATCTAGACGTTTGAATTTATCTTCATAGAGTTGTGGTATCTGTTAATTTTGTTGAGCAGTTTTTTGTTGTTGTTTTTTTTACATATATACATCTGTAAGTATGGAGTGAAATTTGTTCCATTATTGTAACACGTTTTGTAAATGGAACCCCGCCCCCCCCAAAAAGAAAGTAGATGCAAGCTAGAAATTAAAATATGAAAAACTTCTTAATCAATAAAATTATTCTTGTTCTTTGGTTTTTAAAATAATATTTTTCAAATACTTTTTTTTTTATTATTTTCTGTTACAAATTTAAAATGTTTACATTTTATGTTTCCAAACATTTTTGTTCTCTAGACTGAGTTTCACAAAGTTCAGACTTTTGAAATTAATTTTTACGGATCAGATTATCTGCACTTATGTGGGCGGGGTTTTCTCCTGAGTCAGGAATGAAGACTCATTTCTATTGGTCTGTATCGAAGCCAGTATCAATTTTGTACTGTACTGGTCAAGGAGAGGTGTTTGTATCTGGCTTAAAGTGTTAAGAATCCAATTCATAAAACTCAATTTGAAAAAATAAAGTCTGTATGATTGCAATTAAAAAATTTAAGTTTGGAAAAATAAAAGATTTGTGAAAAAAAGTTTTTTTGAAAAAAAATCTAAACATTTCGATTAAGAAGTCTTTCAAAGTTTTATCTCTCCATTGCAAATGTGTTCTGTGTTTGTAACAAAAATGGCACAAAATTCACTCCGTATATGAGCCCCAACAGTTGATTGAGATATTTTCAGTATTGCAGATACATCATCAGAAAAACATCAAATTATATCATCTGTTAAAAAATATGGCTACCTTCTTTTGTATTGCTTTCTGAGTTTTAAGAGGGTAAACCCTGCAAAATGTGTTCATAAGCAACATAAAAACATATTCTTATCCGTTTAAAAAAACTGGGTTTTGAATCTAAATTCATTAAACCACACTGGTTGTAAATGCAAATTTAAATATTTTTTTTCTCTTTGTGTGGAAAAAGCTTCTGTTGGGGTAGTCAGACCAGCAGGGGTCCTAAGCAACCAACAGCTCTTTGTTACCTCAGTGCTGGCGACTCACTCTATTTTTGTGAGCACAACCTTGAAAGTGACATTATCTGAGAAGTGATGGGATAAAAGGTGCAACATCATGGAGTTTTCACACCGTCAGATCAGATACTGGAGCCTGCAGCCGTTAAGCTAGACATTGGATGAAAGATGTGGGGATCCATTAATCAAACAGTTAGTGGCACCTGCTGATAATCTATGACAAATTCACCAATGGGAGCCAAAAGTCTAGAAACAGAAGCCAGAAACACATTTCATGAGTTTGAGTTAGATATGTTGCTAACATACAACATGAAATAGACTTTGAATTAAAATAACTGAAGACAAACTTTAAAAGCCTGGTTCAAGTAGCAAGTTACCTGTTTTGATATGACAAATTACTCTTTTAAAAAATCATAATTAATTCTTGTTTTCAAGTAAATGTGTAGCCCTCCAAGTCACTGATTCACTGACACTGCATTTTAACAACTCTTAGAAATATTAAGAATTAATCAAGAAAACATGTATTATAGGTTATATGGTGGAGCTTTAGAGTTTTTGTGTTTTTCTGTTATGCTTAGAAATATTCCTATAAAAATCCCTCAGCTTGTATGGTTCTGCTGCTCAAGACTTTTTAGAGGGAAATAGTGTGATCAATAGAAATGATAAATCCAGGAATAGATTTAGGATAGAATTCAACTTTTTATTGTCATTTCACTGTCACAAGAACAAAGCAATGAAATGTACTCTGTGCATTTAACTCATCCCTTTGGGGTGCGGTGGGCTGCCATTGTGCGGCGCCCGGGTAGCAGTGTGGGGTTAAGGGTCTTGCTCAGGGACCCAGAGTGGCAGTCAGTGGGAGTGGGGCTCGAACTCAGAACCTCAGGATTCCAAGCTCTATGCTGTAACAACATGGCCGCCACTCCCCCAGTTAGATTGTAATTGATTTTAAAAGTGTTGAAAGAAACAGGTATAAAATGACTTCACAATTAATAAAAATGATAAATGATTAAAAATATATAATAAATAGTAAAAAAAAAAACGGATGAATATTTATGCAAAATATGTTAAAATAACGGAATGTTAATGGTTGTAACTGGTCTGAAACTAAAAATATATTTTGAAGATTTGTATAAAAAAATCTTACAATCTTAGATCAATGTTGAATTAAAGAGTTCCGCCTTCCAGAGCATCATCAACCATCTTTTGGTGTTTTTACTAATTAGAACCATTGAAGTGATGTCATAATTTGTCCTTTTTTCCATATTAAATAAATTCACTTCTTCTCTTCTCTTCCTGATTGTGCTTTGGGATTTTTTCTAGTTGGGAGACACTTTTTATTGGAGGCTAAGAGGTTAAAGGAAGCAGCAGGATGAAGTCCAAAGGAAAGGCTGTGAGAAGCTCCAGGAGGCCCTGGTCTGATCCAGAGCCAGAGAACGAACCCGACACAGAGCCCGGCTCCAGTGAGCAGGAAGGATCAGAGGCTTCAGTTCGGATCGGCGGCTCCTGGAAAGGCTCTCTGAGGAGCGGCGACGGGAGGCGCCGTCAGGGAGGAGGAGGAACGGGTGGAGGAGGCGGGCGGCGGCGCAGGATGTACGGCACCAGCACCAAGGAGCGCAGCATCAGAAGGCTGGAGAGCAACGAGCGGGAGAGGCAGCGAATGCACAAACTGAACAACGCCTTTCAGGCCCTGCGGGAAGCCATCCCACACGTGAAGATGGACAAGAAGCTGTCCAAGATCGAGACTCTTACTCTGGCTAAGAACTACATCAAAGCTTTGACCACCATCATCCTGGACATGTCGGGGGCCTGCCTGCCCACTGAGGGGGGGCCCTCAGATGCCAGGCTGCTGCAGTGCTACCAGCAGCACCTGGAGGAGGAGGGGGAGGATGGCCTCACCCAGTACCTCACCCACATGAAGAGCTTTGGCCAGGAAAGCTAACAGACTGGAACTGTGGAATGGTTTAGGGACCAAGACACACCCGCTCAATGGCCGTCCTCCTTAGAACTGACTGCTAGACCCTCAGTGCCTACAAATGTTTTTATACCTCAACAACTTTTCCAGATTTCTCACCTTAAAACCAAACATTTATTTCATTGGGATCTTATGTGACAGACAATCGCAAAGCAGTGTACAGTTTTAAGAGAGAAATGAAACATGGTTTCCAAGAGTTTTTGAAAGTAAAGAACTAAAAATATGGTGCATTTATTTCTGCCCCCTTTATTCTGATACCCCGAAATAAAACTTAAATTTCTTTAGAAATTTCAGCCATTGGAGAATCTTGATGAACAATTCTAACTAGGAACTCAGCAAACAGATAGGAAAACATTCTGTGGATAATTTAGAGCAAGGTGATTTAATTAAAAAAACACCCGAAGCTTTAACCATCCTATCAGGCTCTATGAGGCAATAAACAAACATTCAAAGAATCAGGCACAAATACATCAAGAAAAAAAAAAGCTATTGGTGAAAGAAAATCCATTAGAAACCCTGTTTACAAACTGTCACAAGAAATACGAGACAAAGCAAACGTGGAGGAAGGTTGTCAAAATAACCGCACCCTAAACAGTCCGTCCTCCGTTTAAAACCTTGAGGTGGTGCTACGGTATGATACAGTGGAAGAGCTTTTCTTAGCTAGAGACAAGACAATATAGCATATTTGATGGGGATGCATGGATCTAAACTGCAAAACAGACTGGTGAGGAGGTTAACCATCAGAGAAGACGGTGACTCCAAACATCCACCCAGACCTACACTAGAACGGTTTAGTGCATGGATTAGAGGGAGGAGTCAAAGTCCAACTCCAAATATGCAATTTATGACAAAACTTAAAATAAGGTTTTCACAGATCTGAGGTAGTTTGCAAGAAAACTGTCTTCTTTTGTAAACTGTTAAGACATAGGATATCTTGAAAGACTGTAGTTGCACCGAAACATGGTTGTAGAAAATGATCCCATTCTTATGTATAATATCATTGTAACTTTGTATTGTCTGTCACATTATTCTGAAGTTGTTGGAGGGATGAGAATATTTTTGAGATGCGCTGTAACCCCATAAAACATGCTTGAACATAATGAGCTGGTTGTCTAGAACATGTCGACCTGTAAAAGCATTCAGCAAACAGTGCTGAATGTGAAATGCTTGATGAGCAGAAGGACTCTCCCTTTTTCAAACTTTCTTTGCAGCTCAAAGGAACTTCTTCTCTTTTGTTGCTATCTTGCGATCTGTGTGCGTGCGTGTTCGTTTAGAAACTTGCTGAGTGTAAGCTCTGGTCATAACGGTCATATTCAGGAAGGATGGAGGAGGACAAGCAGCAGGTTTGAATATTGCAGCGTTGTTGCAAGAGACCTCATGTGACCCATGATAATCAACTACGATAAAGCTGAAAGGAATTTGCATCTTTTCCTGCAGCATTAGCGGCATTAGCTGTTTGGCTAGTGTCAACTCTTAAGTGTGTGTTGTTTTGGGTTTTTTTTCCTCCTGCATTTTAACTCATTCCCGGGTTTAAAAAAAAAAAAATGTGAAAAGATTGTTTGAGTAGTAGCTATAAAAATAAAACCTTTTATTTATTGACACCGACTTTTATTTTGGAGAATGCACAACTGGATCATGTTACACAATATGATTACTATTTACAGATAATGCTGCCTTTCAGCACACGATCAACATTTAAAGACGCTGCAGCAGTCAGACAGTGAATTGTTATGCAACCATTTTATAAGTTAATGTTCGTCTCATCAAACTCCTTAGCAACAGGAACAATCACTTCTATTACAACTTGTTATAGTACCTTATAACATTCACAAAACTATTTATATAACTGATTATATTTACAAGTAAATAAAGAAAACATGTTTACAACTGCTCAGTCATTGTCCAATCATCTGGCCAAAGGAAGTAGAAGACATGTAGATGCAACCACTCATAAGAAAGAGGAAGGTTTAGTTTAAACATTTAAAACACACTTTTTTTTCCCCAAGTAATCCCCTTTTGTCCTGTTAATAAAGTTTAACAGTGCATTTGCACCACTATATCGTATTTGAAATAACATATTCATTGAAAGTGTTATTGACAGGAAGTCACCTGAAACCAGTTTGTGAATCTGTGTTGTCATGGTGACCTTTTATTAGTGCTCTGTTTTTTTAATGTTTTGTTTTCCAGGCCTTCGACGCCCAGAACTCCTCAGCTTTGCTGAGAAACGTGAAGTTTGACCTTTCCAAACCAGTCCTGCTCCTGGAATCATTTTTAAAATGAAGAAACTGCTTGGAACTGTTTACTTTATGGTGAAAAAAGAGAAGTTTTATCTCTGATGAACGGATGGCAGCAGTCACTGTGACATGGTTAAAGCGTTTTTTTAAAAAGCTTTTCATATACAGTGGGTTTCAAATGTTTTCAGATGAGAAATAATCTCACATATATGTTATAAAACATATTATCTGTCCAATTTAGAAAACAAACATTTGTTAATTTGTATCTTTTAGCTGAAGCCTTATTTAGCAGAGATGTAACAAAGGAACTTCTAAGTAGGATCAGGTCTGCAAGATAGATTTCTTTTCTTCTGAAACAAGAATATGATCGGCTAAAAAAGGTAGTGTCATCATCCCTCTGGGGTTATTTTACTGCACACATAAGAATGGTCATAATTATGAACAGCCCTGTGTTACCTAGAAAGCTGATTTTTTATATATATAAATATAAAGGATGATTTCCTGAGAGGAAACAACCTTAAAATCTAAATTCAACAGAAATAGAGAAAGTGAAGAAGTATTATATAATATAACACAAAACATTTCTTTTCTCTGAGGTGAACTGGTTTTAACACAAACAAATTAAAACACACCCGAAAATACTAAATCAAATTTGAAACAACTAAAAAAGGCCCCGAGACCAACAGGCTTCCACAAATACTAACAAAATACAAACATCACTGACAAGAAAACAATCACAGAATTTAAATCTCTAGTTTAAATTAGAGACTGGCTCAGACTCTCTGAATACTACAACCTGCTGGCATCTCCAAACCTGAAGGTTAGATCTCTTCTCCAAATAGTCTGCAGTTTGAGGGCTACATTAGGAGCTTAAAGGAATAGTACACCCAAAACATGATTAGCCTTCATTTTCTACTCACCCCCATGCTGAACAACACTCTGGAGTACTTTTTTGATATCNAGAAAATGAAGGCTAATCATGTTTTGGGTGTACTATTCCTTTAAGGTGCTGCTGATCGCTGTGCTCCTGACCAGGAGGGGGCTGCAAGGGGCTGGGGGGGCGGCTATGTCCTGGAGGAAAGACAGATGTGCGGTGGCTCCATGGAGTTTCCTCTTACTGTGATGTGGTCCCATCCACCCTAGAAAGAGACATAGAAACAACACTTACACAGTGTTGTATAAAAGTACTGAAATGTCAGAATCAAATAAAAGTATAAGTACCTCTCCAAAATATGACTTTGGTAAAAGTCCAAGTCACTGACTGAAATGTTGAGTAAAAGTCTTAAAGTATCTGAAATGTACTTAAGTATAAGAATTACAGTAAAAATAGATGTACTCAAGTAATGTAGTGAAAAGTATAAGTAAAAAGTAGTGCAGTTTAAATGACTTTTTTTTACATTTTGGTAAACTGTGAAGGTTAAATTCATTTAAAATAATGTAAACAACCAAGTGTAGGATAGATATAGACTGGCTTTGCAAAAAAGGCGAATCCTATTGGTGTTGATGAACAAGCCCAGGCAAGACCCGACTTTGTAGTCAGTAGGTGGGGTCAAAACACTTACGTTTCTCTCATTCGTTTTTTTTTTATTTAGTAACTAAACCAAACATTGAAAATGTATCAGAGTAAAAGTATGCAATTAAGTTCGTAAATGTAGTGAAGTAAAAGTGAAAGTTCTCAAAAAATTCTACTCTTGGAAAGTATAAAGTACTCCAAAATATACTTAAGTACAGTAGTGAAGTATTTTTACTTCGTTACTATACAACACTGCACTTACAGCATCCTATGTGTTGTTGCCTAGCAGCAGGAAGGTCCTGGATGCAACTCATGGTCTGGGTCTTTCTGCACACAGTCGGCATGTTTTACCCATCTCTAAAATGTTAGTGGTTAGTGTTGGTTAGTGTTGCTTTCCTGTGTGCTGTCCAGAATTTGACCCGCTAACACAAAATCAGCAGCTATGATCAGTGGATGGATGCTAAATGGTCTTTATGAGGTCGTCCATTTTAAGTCAAAAAGTGTGACAAAAAAAGCTTCTAGAAAGTATTAAATCAGGGTAAAGGAAGGCTGATGCATACAAGAAGTCCTCAGATACTCATTAGTATAAATGTCTAAATATCGTGTATCTTCATCTTTCCATAATTATATATGTCTTTTTTTTATCAAACAAAATCCCATTAGTATTGCAGAGAATGAGGCTGACTAGTTTTACCCCAATGCCATAATCCCAGGATTGTCCCTTTGGCTCCATGGGTTGGACTCCGAGTCGATGGCACACTGTCCCGCAGCTCAGACTGTGGCTGCCCTGAACCTTGTCTGCTATGATCCAAACCTACAGCAAACAACAACAATCAACCCAGGAAACATCAAACAGGTACATCCTAACAACTACCAATTAGATGTCGACTATTA